CTTTGAAAGGTGTTCTAATTATTGTATCAGAGAAATAAATCAAACAAAATGAAATGAAATATAATTTGTTTGGACTTTCATTAAATTTCCGAAAATATAGACTGATTTGTATTGAAAGAATGGAAAATTAATATTCACTAGGGGCATGCACGAAGGGATTAAATAAGCCATTTTACAGTGTGTGTGTGTGTGTGTGTGTGTGTGAAGCTGGCAGCACACTTGTAGAAGCTTTTTGGGTTACGAATTCATTCTACACCCACTGCATGTATTTCAAAAACTTACATCGTGGTGATTATTTTAAAAATACAAACGAGAAAAATAATTGCCAACAATAATAATATCTCTTAAGACGTGGGCGTTGTAGTGTTCCTTGAGCAGTTTCTCAGGCATTAATATCGGACGTAAAGAGAAACGATCGGCACGATTAGAGAAACAGGAAGCGATACATGGGCGGGCCGACGAGTGCCGCCTGGATCTCGGTATCTCGAAGATCCGATCGACGCGGCTCGCGAGAACGCGCCGTGCACGATCGATCAATCGCGTTCCAGCGACCCTCTCGGTGAACGTTAATTATCGCGCGTTATTTTTATTTATCGTCTCGCGGGGCAACGATAGTTAACCATCTACGTCTGACATGTTAAAGACACCACTTTCCGACATGCTTTTCGGGAAACGAGAAAATGAAAATTGTTATAACAGCGCAACAAGTTTGCGAGATTCATTTCGATAAGCTCGATTGTCGATCCATCTCGACGATAAACTTACGTTTGACAAATACGTCGGTTAACATTTCGCAATTTTATTGAAGTTAGTTTAAGTACCGAGCGATTAATTATCGCCATTCAACCTCGTTGATCGTTTCACGAGAGATAACTATACCGTACGGAAAAAACGAAACAAAACTGGTTTCTGGGTAATTGAGTTTCCGAAGATCGAGACTTATTCGACGGATAAAATTAATTGCAATATGAAATTAATTTAATTTCGTTTCGTAAATCAGGAATATTGGGCATTTTGCAAGCTTAACGTTCTTTAATCGGAGTTACATGTAATATCAGTTAGAGTCCCCGTTAGCTCTTCCATTGCTTTTTTACAAAATGTTAATTATATTCACGACTTATAAATCGAATGAAAAAGATCATACATAGTTTTCTGAAAATACCCTTCATCGAGTAACGCAAGAATGACCAAAATACTAATTAATTCTCATACTATAATCAATATTGGACTTATACAGTTTTGATGACGAAATAAGATGTATAATGTTTGCAGCTACAATAAATACAATTTTACAACTTTTTGTGCAATTTTTAATATCATATTTTTGTATGTTTGTAAACAAATTCGAAAACTATATTTTTTCATACGTATATTGTTACCTAATCAATAAATCATCACAAAATATTTACATATCTTTATTTTATATTCTTTGAGTCACGAAAAAAAATCACAATCATAAATGGGGTCGTGACTGGAAAAAGTTTAAGAAGCCCTGCTCTAAACGATAAAATTATTTATATAATTCTTTCATCGCTAAGAAAGGTTACTTCATTATCAATTGGTTCCTTCTCCGTACAAAGAAAAAAAGAACAAAGAATTATGATTCAGCGACATCAACAGTTTCATTTGTTCCCATCCTCTTTCTTGGCATCCCCAGATTTCCACAGCGTTTAACACATCTGAAGATGGCCATACAAGGTCCGAAACATTCGTTGTAAATAACGGACAATCAGCAAATGACCAGCCTGACTACACCAAAATTATCATTTTAAAAGTAAAGGAAATGCATCGAGTTAAATACCGAGTACTATAGACTCGAATATATCGTCAGATTTAAGTCCAAGGAGCAAACGCGTTCAAGTTCAGGAGCAACGTGGCACCGATACTCCGAAACGTTCCCGTTTCTGCACGAGCGTGTGATTATTACCGTGGAAAAGAATCGATAACCTCCGGGAATGCCTTTGACCGCGTGTTGGAGTCGCGCGTAGGGTGCTTTCGCGGTGTACCCTACGGTGATACGATGCGGTTGCCGCTAAATATAAAGCAAAGAGCTGGGAGGTACGGAATGTCCTGACACTTAATATTCTCGGAGCAGACGCGCGTTTTACGAGGCCGCTGAGATTCGTCGGAAGTTTCGACAATATTTTTAAGGACCGCACTCGCAGTATCCGTCGCGTCGCGTTGGCGAAAACGAACCGAGACCCTCGCACGGGACAGGTTTGTCCATGGTACGGGGGCCTACCTTAAAATCTGACTCTTAGAAAGGAACGCAGAGATCAGAGGGCGATGAGGGAGTCTCGATCGAATGAGGCGGACGCGAAACGTTCGAGGCCTCAATTAAATAAAAAGGACGGATCAACGCGCGGAAGTTGGGACGGATATTATACCGAAACGACTCGATGGAATTGTGGAGGAATCGAAGGTTCAACGTCTTACGACACTGTTTAATATCAAGGGTCCGAGGAAACGGTTAACGGTTAGTCTTTCGATGCTGTTAGAACTTACCTGTTGTTCAAAAGAATACATTCTGTTCCTACTGGAGTATATTTCTATGGTTTTCTTACGAAAGGCACTTTTATTCGTTCGTGACTGTGATACCTTTTACTTATTTTCAAGTCATTTTCATTGTTGTATTGTTACGAGTTCTTACTTGTTCTCGCGTAACAGATATTTTACATTTTATATAGCAAAAGGATATTCTTGTTTGGAGTTAACAAGCACCAGCAGTCATATATCAGTCATGAGGTAATGTGAAACCTGATCAATTAACTATGTTATTAACCTTTTCGGTGCTCTTCGCGAGCATACTCGTCAAATTATTTTGTTCTCGTCGTGCTCAAGACGAGTTAACTCATTAACGCATTAACAATAAGCTCACGTGATTTAACTCGTCTTGAGCGCGACAGGACCAAAGTAATTTGACGAGTATACTCGCGCAGAGGACCGAAAAAATCTCGTGAAGTATTGAACTTTCGATGATCGTGTCTTAACATTTTTGTACGCGGAATGGCGAGCAGAATCGATCTGTCTAAAGAAATGTATAGTTTCATTGAGACAAAAATGTGCAAGTGCGCTTTGCATTTACACCGTTGGACCACGGACAAAAGAACTATGCCATCGAAAGATTGCCTGGCATGGGGATTCAACTTTCTCGTCTAACAATTTCTTGTATTTCCGCCCGGGAAAGAGCTACGACTTGTTCCGGTTTCTGAAATCGTCCTGTATATAGAAAAAGAAAAACTGAAGATTAACGGGTCGTTTTTAAAAGTTACGCTTCCACGCGAAGAGACGTATATTGCTGCATATCTCGGCGGAACGAGCGCAGATGTGTTCAGAAGGGGAGATTTTCTGCGGGGGCAATAAAAAAAACTCCTATCTCGATCTTTTCGAGAGCCATTGCACTCGACGAATTTGCATAACATCCGAGACATTACAAATAAACAGCCGTTCACTTATGTGCATTACATTTTACGTGTTATGCAAATCTCCGTGCCATAACTCTGAAGCACGGCCCTGGTCTACATGGCGATAGTACCTAAAATGCAACGAATAAAAAAAAAGAAAAAAAATAATAAGAAACAAAAACAACAAAGCGTACACGCGCCAGGAGACCGTAAATGTTCGACACCGCGAAACAAGCAACGAATGGTTGATTGTTTGTCGCTGAAAAGATATTCTCGAAAAGTAGTTCGCGCTAAAAATATAGAAAGGTCATCGTGCATGAATGGAAACAATGTCAACGCTATCGCGTGGAATTCAATGAATGAAAATTGCAGAGTGGAACGTATTACCTTTTCTCAAAGTTTAACGCTGAATTCCTGGGATAAAAAGCTAAGTACATAATATTTGGTTATGCTTTTCTAGGTTTGAATAGATATATTCGGATATGTATTGTCCACGAAGTTTTTAAATGGCTGATTATTTGAAAATGCGACAGTGAATGACAATTTTAAAAATACAATTTTGTCGAATTGACATTTAAACGTTATGTAAAATTTTGTAAGTTGGATTCGACAAGCCACGTATGTATAATGAAAACTTTTGAATCTTTGATTGGCTTATTCAGACATGACGAAATATCTACAAGAATACGTTTAATTAAAACGAATTGAAAAATACGCGAACGAACGAAACTGTTAATATCACAGAATCATGTTTTCTTTTTATAGGGGAAAGGTGCCAATTGTAATGAACTAACCATTCTTAGCGTTCAAAGAACTATATTTTTCTAATTTTATCGTTTGAAGATATGCGAATAATTTAATGGCGTTAGTAGCTCATTTTGTATAATTGGATCAATCCACGCTAATTAAGACATTTTTTCGAGTAACATCTTGGATTTTGATGAAAATCGGATTTACAGATGTTTACAATTCTGAGCTACCTTTTTTTTCAAAAAATGATAACTATTGAACTAAGCAATGAATGAGAATGAGCTTTCGCGTGCTTACAGTCACAACGTAAAAGTATCAAATAACGATATCACTAAAACGTTCAAATATCACTAAAGACTAGAACATATCCAAAATGTCGTAAAAGTCCAAAATGTTACTCCAAAAAGTGTCCAAATCTGTACGGAATGACTTTTATGGGGTTAAAATTATGTCCTGAAACTATTGAAGATTCGATCATTTGAAATTGATCGGATCATTTAATTCTTTAATCACACCAAATTAACGAATATCCTATCCATATTTATTTTTATTATCGCCTCACCTCGGAGATTAATTTCGTTTAGTTCCTTAATGAAAAATCCTGTCATCCATCGTTGGATGACGTAGCACCCAACGTGTTGAACTTGAAATTTGAACATTCGTGTTTGATTAGAAACCGAATTCCTAAGGCCTCCTTTGGAAAATATTTTACAAAATGAACGAAGGCTAGAATTCGCTATCCACCAATCGTGAATTAAACCATGAATCTTAGTTCTGGAAGGACCTAATCGCGTTTGCTCTGCACGAGTAAGAAATCTAGTAAACATAAACAATAACAGAACTCACCGTGCTTGATGCTGTGTCTAAATCCACGGGCGGCGTGCGCGGCGTCCAGATTCCACAGAACCAACAAGACAAGGAGGAGACGTCGAAACATTAAAAAATATCGGTGCATTCGAACGGCCATGATTCACGAGAATATCCGCAATTCGAGATATCGTTGAAACAAAGGCAACCATTCACGCACTCGCGAATCATATATCAACGGGAAAGCGAAATTCTTAAACTAGTCTTCGGTCCAGGACGATCGTGACTGACGTTTTCACGCCGATCTCACTGTTCCGGCGTTCGTTGATTCGCCACGGATCGTTCGTTCGCACTTTTATCCTCGTATCTTCTCTTTCCATCGACGTCGATATCATTCCGTGTCACGCGTGTCGATCACTCGCGCTTGAGTCGTTCGAATCGACGTTCATTTTCGCGCCACATTCGCTGCAGCAACGTTCAGCGAAAATACAGTTGCACCTTTACAACTCGATTCCCTAATAGTAAAATTGCGTTAAACACGGTTTCTCCAATTATAATATATACTAACTACAACTATCTCTAATACTCTTGCGGAAGAGTACGAATAAGAATATGTTAAATTCGTATCGATATATGTGTAAAATGGAAGTGATTGGAAGCGCTGTTTTTTAATCTAACTTCAATTAATGTTTACGGTAAACTATAGTACGTGTTTCTACTACGTGAGCTCCGAAAACATGTTAATGATATTATATAATTTATTCGAGGAAAATTCTGGTTTAACACGATTTCATACAACGTGGAACGTGTGAACCGCGTTTAAGAGCCTCGCGTATTTTTAAATAAACTAATATTACCAATTTACTATTCAATAAAGTAATATTACTAATTTACCAATTTCTGACTGACTTTACGCAACCATCATCTGTATTTAGTCTGCTTTTGTTTTCTACATACGTAGCTATATTTTAAGGAAAGTAACAAGAATGTTACTCTTCCGCAGAGAATAAAAACTATTTGATAATTTACTTCGGTTTACTTTACTTTCCGAGCGAACAGAGAGAAAATCAAGACAATTAATCACTGCACGTTGTAATCATCAGTCGCTCCTAATAATCACCTTCACACATTCGAAGCTAGACATAACGAGAGCAAAAAAGAACCAAATGAATTTTGTTGTATTAGGTTGTCACAAAAGTTTCTTTCGCTTTATTAACAATTAATACATGCACAATATTTTGTGTTTTATGTTACATTACTGAGTTGTGCACGATTCATTTTGCTCCATTACTGTTACAACATGAATATCTATGAAATTAGATTATTTATTTATTTATTTATTTATTTCAATATATACGGGCATAGCTCATTATGAAATGAATACAGTGTAGCAATTATAATAACACGATTTATATAAACACGACCACATAAAATAATTGTTTGCAACTCGCGAAACAAACTTTCGAGACGACCTAATAAATTCAATTCATTCGCCAAATGAATTTAAATTGTATATATTTTAAATACCTTCATATAAATCCCTTACTAAGCCACCATAAATATAAACCTCGTTAAGAATCTCCAAATCTTCAATATCACTTCAAATACTTTTCATCGCCGTTCGCACTTTATATTACACGAGGTTCGACCGTATTTCACGATCGGATTTATTTCACGATTACCGCGGTGAAAAAGACGCATGCGCGTGCGTGCGTACGCCCCGTCCGATTATCGAAATTCGATGACAGATCGAGTCGAGTCGAGACGAACGTTTTGAATGAGCGAGGACTCACTCGGATGTATCGTAGCCGTAGAGAACAACACAACCACGTTCACCCTTTATCCGACTGCGACATCATTCGAAGAGATGTTCGACGATGTTCGAGGTTCAAATACGTTCACGATTTTTCCACGTGCTCGGCATTCACTTGTTGCTGCGGCGACGACGAGTTTAGGATGCCCTCGCGCCGCTTTCGGAGCTGTTCTCTGCTCGTAAACAAAGACGTCTCGCCGCGTGGCGTGTCCGTTCGATTCGTTTGCCTTCTTTTTTTTTTTTTTCTTTTCTTCGTTTCGTTTCGTTCCGTAGTTCGTTTTGCACGCATTCACCGAAAACAGGTCCCCGCGAGACGACGACTGCGGCGACCGAACCGCTCCAAAAGGAAAGCGGGACAACACACGACGGAAAACACGAACGGTATGAGCGCCGCGAGCGAACTGAACCGAAGTGTCGAGCCACCACCGAGTACGACTCTTTGTCCACCCCACCCCTTACTCTATACGCTTCTCTCTCTCTTACGCTACCCTAAAATTTGACAGATAGAAGGGCTACCTGACACACACACTATTACCCACAAATAAAGGGACGATTCTAGATTTTCTACCTACTAGATAATCCCAACAATTGTCTTATTATTCTTTGAAATTAGGTGAGTTGAAAACTCTTCGATCTTTCTTTTAGTTTTAACTGGGTACTCTTTTGGTTGAAATCAAAAATAAATTTCTTTCTTCCATATCAACGAACACCCACCGTAATTAAAAGAAAAGACGCGAAATTACTCCGAAGGCAATATGTTAAGGGGGTATTCTTTCCTCGAGGTTAAAAAATACATTTTCTTTGTTTTAATCAAGAATAAAATTAGAACGCGATATAATAGCCAAATGGCAATAGATTACATTTCGCCTGCGTTTGTTTTCAAAATATTCATCTTTAATACAGAATTAGTTGGAGTAACTCACGTTCTAGCTATATCGGTATGTATATAGTTAAATATTAAACAAAGATATTCGTCTAGTATTCTGTATACCGACAAAAACAACGTTATTTTAATTTTCAAATTCTTGAGAATGTTGAAAGTTTCTCAGCAGAATTCTCGAATCGTAGGAAAATAAAGGAATTTAAGAATTTCTGGATTTCAGAAATCAGAATCACTGGTATCAAAGTGGATATGATCTGGCTATGAGATAGTTTCGTTTACATTTTCTATAGTACCGAAGGCTATCCTATGTGGTTGTATTAGCATCAGCCAATTGTGTATTGTTGTTTTTCTCACAGTGCCTCCTATTGGAAGTGATTTCCATCGGTCCTTCCTGAATCCATATATTAACTTAAAATAGCTACTCATATTTATTCGGATACAAAAGTCATAGATAAATTGCTGGTAATACAATATTCGAATGAATAATGTATAACCAGAAATTGAGAGATCAGAGGTTCGTTCAACATTAACAGATCATTTCAATTCTTGGCAAGAATTTCGGAACGAAAATGTTTCCGTATTAGTAAACGTGAGGAACTATTGACTCACAGATTATACAAATATAATATCTGATACTCAATTCTGAAGCTTGTAGAGCTACGATGTTTAAATATTCCGACTTCGTTTTTTTTTTAATTCTATCGATCAGATAATATTGTACGTACTTGTATTTCTGAGACACCCTGTGCATAGCTAACAGTATCCGTGGCCGATCAGCCGATCTTAATTTCGACGAAATTTCTCGGTTGATTATCCCAGGTAGCGCTCAAGATCGCATGATATTAGATTTTACACCGTAGCAGCGCTGGTCCTCGCGTATTTGCATTTTTAACGCCTGGTATCAGGTTACCTCTATTTCGGCTGTTTTATGGACGTGATTATTGATTTCCTTTTGCTGACAGATATATCGAGATTGTATCGTGTTGATTTGTTGTATCTGTTCATACATCACATCGCTGTTTCATTCATTTTAAACAGGGTAACTTTAACCATGCGACATATGTGTAGTAAAAGAAGCACTTTTTCGTTAGGTTCTTTTCCAACACCCTGACATTAACGTTACGTACTCATTAGGAAACTTGTGAAATTCGTATAATTGAGGCAAATTTAATTTCTAATATGCAACATCTCGAACACAATCTTTTTTTGCCATTTCAGTTTTGTATTGTACACTTTCATGTTTTTGCAATTAATGAATAAATCAATTAACGAATAAGTGAATTAATGTTGTTGATTCGACTAATCAGTGAGGTTGTCCTCAATAATGAAATGGTCGACAACGATAGTCTTGAAGTCGCAAACGTTGCACATGATAAGAGAGCTCTTAATTAAAATATATGAGTGAATCAGTTTGGCATGTCCCTGATCTTATTTTCGTTGTTACAACTTGTTGCTTATAACGTCAGGATATGTCAAATATTTCAAGCTTCTATAATTTGTTTAAATCGTAGAAATTAGAGATAGGCTTGTGGAGTAGATTTATTTGGTATGTTCAACATTACATTCCATTTGTTCGTACATTACTTCAATGTGTTTATTAATATCTTAAATCGTGTTTTACACAGAAAATCAAACCATAACTTCTGATGAGCTGCGAGCATCATACACGATTGTTGATAAAAATATGAAAATTGCTCGATTCGACATGTCTGGATATCATCCCGACTGTTATGACTCCTAGTTATGTTATGACTCCTCAGCTTAAGTTTGTGAATATTTTTAAACAATAATGATTAGGAACGAGTCTGTGACGCAAATGAACTTTATGTATATTTCATATTAGATTTCATTTATATCTGAAATTTTATTGCATATACAATAAAATGACAAAACAAACCATTCCTTCACATTTACGTACATTAATTCTTACATAATTTTTACATACCCCTCATCGTTCGTTCCATCTGCGTTGCTTCTCATACCTGAAAGGTGAGGAAGGTAAAAAAAAAAAAAAAATACTAATGTATAGATTTTTAAGCTTTTTTTTACTAAAGAAACATACTTCAATAACGAACACACACGGACAAATCAGTGGTCGAACTAAACCATACAAGATTAGGTACTTTTCTATTTCTTCTTTGCCTCTAGAAGGTTACAATGCTTTGGTTATCTTTTTTTTTTTTTTGGTTTTAGGTATATAGGATACTTATGGGTATAATTAGTGTTCTTTCTTGTCGTTTCTTTTTTATCATCATTTTAGCACTGAAATTACCAAGCGGCTCAAAGTTTCCAATTCGCTCTTAATCGTCACGGCTGCTCGATCGCGTGATCGATCTGACACGTAGGACTACTATCGTTATACAATAATTACTATTACTATCGACTCGCTTTCGACGAAATTCCGACCGTGATCACGCGCATCAAGGAGCTATCTATTGCTTCGCATTTTAAAGTTAAACGTACAACGCGCCCGCACAAAATTTCCATGTCGTCTTATTACAACGACATTACACCGACAAATTCACAGTTTGAGAAAGCGACCAACGAACTCTTGCATTCTTTGCCGAGCATAGAAAGAATTGGTCAAGAGGTTCTCTCTCTCTCTCTCTCTCTCTCTCTCTCTCTCTCTCTCTCTCTCTCTCTCTCTCTC